ATTTCAATAAAAGATTACTTTAGCATTTGATATGTGAAATCGTGAAAAGCTTCAAAATAAATATTAAATAGTATAATTATTGTGTAAATGACTGGAAAATATATTAATATGTATATATTTATAAATTCAAAATTATGTTAAAAATTAATTAATTGAAGTTAACGTTTTGACATAACTATCTAAATTTAAAAAAAACTGAATGTAAAGGAATCAACTAGAATAATTTGATGTGTAGTAAAAAATGTATTGATTTCAGCTCTTAGATCTTAATATTCAACTATTTTCGTTTCACGGATGTAACGATATCCACCGCTTACCTATGTCACGAAGAAAATACATACGAACAGCGGTAAAACACTTTTTTTTAATTTTTACAATAATTATTTACGATAAATTTGTAATGTTGTATATCATACCCTCACCGGCACAAAATTCGATCCATATGCTTAAATTTATTTTATCTAATTAAGAGATATTTTTTTGTTTAGCGTAATTTTTTTTGGTCAAATTGATCATGATCATTTGGATATTAAACAGTGTTAAGGTAGTTTATTTCTGTTTACATGATAACCAAACAGATTCGACTATATGTGTTTTTTTAAAGAAATAATTTTGCTAAAAATAGATCGAATTTTATGTCGGTGATTCATAAATCGAATTTTATCGTCGGTATATTTTGAATGTCCAGCTGTCACGAAGTGGGTTGTGGTATTTCCTTGCAAAAGTCACCGAGCTTCTAGATACGGTAAGCAAATGTATGCATATCATATATATAAATATATATGTACATATATACACAATAAAATTAATGCAGATGAGTTAATCATTATGGTAGTTAATAAAATAGTTATTCTTATGTATAGTAAGATAAATAAAGTTGAGTAAGGTAAGAAAAAAACATCTATTAAAAAATATAATAATGTTTATTTTTTTCTCTACTTTTTGAAGGTATTTATGGTGTTGAGAAAGAAACAGAATCAATTGACTTTCCTTCACGTTTATCACCATACAGTAACGGTCCTTGTTTCGTGGTGCTACTTGAAATTGCTGCCTGGTGAACAAGGTGTCGTAGTAGCTTTTTTGAATTCCGTCGTTCACATTATTATGTACAGTTATTATTTCATCGCCGCGCTTGGCTCAAAATACAAAAAGTACATTTGGTGGAAGAAATATATGACCTGTATTCAGCTGGTAATTATCAAACATTATACTGCCAAAATAATTTATACAGATTTATTAAAATTTTATTTCTTTCAATTGATATTCAATTAATTCTCGTCAATCTTTTTCAATACGCGATTGCATTTCTATAACTTAATAATCGAATTTAATGTCGACATTACTTTTAAACGTTTTATTTTATTATTCTCAGCTATTCTTTTCAATTAGTGTGCTGAATATATTTTTATAATATTTGTTTATTTAATAAAAAGATTGGAAGAAATGACAATTATACATTTATTATAGATTTATTATAATATAATGATTCAGAT